CACTCCCATCTGGTCACATGGGTGGCAAGCCACTCCCACAAAGGAGGCCACACCCACAGAGTAGGTTCGAACAATTTTTGAAACCCACCATTGCTTTGCTTGTTTGCATGGACCAGTTACTGGCATGCCGTGGCCTGATGCCAGTCTATAGACAGGAGATTGGAGACCCCTCATCTTGGCTATATTTGCATAAACGGTGAAGCAGTCGTTTTGTTGCACCACTATAAGGAATCAGGATGAAGTTCCTCCAATGAAAGTGTCAACTCTGAAGTGAACCTGGCTGAAGCCATCTTTAGCTGCCTCATAGTTGCCACATACTCTGAGGGGTGGGGAAGGGTGAAGAGAGGGGGATGTAGACTTGCAGACAAAACAAAGATCTCTCCCGTGGGAACCAAGGTCATCCCAACAGGTGGAAATTGGAGGAGGGAAGGAGTGACCAAGGAACCTGCCAAATGCCTTAATTGGACAGTGTGACCTTTGACACTTGGGGAGGGAAACAATTGCTCCTTTTATTATATCACAAATGTGGGAAACTTTCAGAGTTGGTTTTCACTAACTGTGCCGACATGATGTGTCCAATGAACATGTTCTTTGAGGAATCTACCTGCCTCCGAGTTCTGATTTTAATGCATTACTCAGAATGCTGAGAGAAAGATTAAATGTAATCACACAGTTTGTGCAAATGGAACTTTTATCCACTTTTTGTGAATTAACCCTAAAACAGTTATTGAATTTGATACAAAATTGGTAAGTGCTTGTCAATTGGGGAAGGGGAGGGGAGAGTTTTGAGTTCCAACAGAGAAGTATCTGTAGTTCAGGGTTGAATTGTGGCTATTTTGGGGCTTTCTGAGCTTGGTTGTTTGCTTGCAGATGTTTCAATACCCAACTAACTAACATCTTCAGTGCACGCAAGAGTTTGCTGCCAGTTAATGCCATGTGCTCAGCACATGGACACTCGACCACAGTTTCAACTGGGAAAGTATTCGTTATCTGAGCATCCAAGCCAATTTCCTGAAGCTTGACATTCAAATAAATCACCCATGAAAAGACATATAGTGAAATACCACGTTTGAAAGGAAACAAAAAGAATGGAACACACCCCCTTCAGCAGCTAATATTCAGATAAGCAGGGATTAATACCAGACAAATGATCAGGCAGAAAGCTAAAGAACCAGGAAGGAGAAAACTACAGCCTGCAAAAAATGGCAGATAAGCTCCTACATTTAAACACTAACGTGCCCAGATGACGTTACCTGGTTTGGTAGTGAAACATCTGTAGGCATACAACCAAGTTTATACAGCACCAGGAACACAGGTTCAAGTTGTTTAGATGTATGGAATGTTTAATCACAGAATGCTTGATCATGAGAAGTCCTTGGTGTTCTCTGAGCTTGCTTGTTTTCTCGCAGATGTTTCATTACCCAATGCTACCACTGATGATAACACCTAGTTTGAGTAATGAAACATCTGCAAGAAAACAAGCAAGCTCAGAGAGCACCAAGGACCCCTCATGTCAACCCTGAGCTACAGATATTCTCCTTTATTAATGTTTAATCGTTTAAATTTTAAAACGTGACTTACTTCACACATCTGTAGCTGAAACAGCCTTCTCTCTTTCTCCATTTCCTCTGCTATCTCAGCTCCCGTAATCTCTGTTCGTATCATCCCATGTTGCTTGGCGTGTTCCCTTTTTTCCTTTTCAATTTTCGTGCTGTCGAATTGCAAAACAAAACCCACAAAGAAGGCGAAACCTGTCAAACTTTTTGACAATCACAAGAATCCACAAGCCGAGTCCAACTAATATAGAAACAATGACATTTCTCATGTTTTCCATTTCACCAGACTTCATCAAACAATAAATTCCAAACCAAAATAGCTCTCCACCTTAAAAGCAAGCTGTTAAGTGCTAAAAAGCAGAAGGAGGAATCCGATATTTTAAAAATCCAACATAAACACGTCAAGGACAATTTGAGTTCTACAGCACCTTGGCATTTGAGGTTTTTTTCCAATCTACCCTTCATTTTAAGAAAATTAACTTTGGAATCAATCCTGTTCCAAAAAAGAATTGTAATATGTTTTGAATCCTTTTTTAAAGGTAAAGGTTCCCCTTGCATATATGTGCTAGTTGTTCCCGACTCTAGGGGGCGGTGCTCATCTCTGTTTCAAAGCCGAAGAGTCAGAGCTGTCCGAAGACATCTCCGTGATCATGTGGCTGGCATGAGTAAACACCGAAGGAGCACAGAACGCTGATACCTTCCTACCAAAGGTGGTCCCTATTTTTCTACTTGCATTTTTACATGCTTTCGAACTGCTAGGTTGGCAGAAACTGGGACAAGGAACGGGAGCTCACTTCGTTATGCGGCACTAGGGATTCGAACCGCCGAACTGCTGACGTTTTTTCCTTATGTACTTATTGCTTTTAAAAATTGTAATATGATTCACTGATTCATGATGCACTGGTACAGATTCCCAAGTGGGACTGAGGAGCCGAGGTGGCGCAGTGGGTAGAGTGCAGCACTGCAGGCCACTTCAGCTGACTGTTAGCTGCAGTTCGGCTGTTCAAATCTCACCGGCTCAAGGTTGACTCAGCCTTCCATCCTTCCGAGGTGGGTAAAATGAGGACCCGGATTGTTGTTGGGGGCAATATGCTGACTCTGTAAACCACTTAGAGAGGGCTGAAAGCCCTATGAAGCGGTATATAAGTCTAACTGCTATTGCTATATACAATTATTTTTTACACAACGAACCACATGACACACATGTGAAAAGAGTTCCAGGACAGGTAGTCCTCGACTTACAACTGTTGATTTAGTGACCGTTCTAACTTACAGTATCCTGAAAAACGTGACTTATGACCATTTTTCACACTTACAACTGTGGCAGTGCCCCTATGGTGACGTGATCAAAATTCAGAGGCATGGCAACTGACTTATATTTATGACGGTCGCAGAATCCCAGAGTATGTGAACTGCTTTTGCGACCTTCTGGCAAGCAATGTCTATGGGGAAGCCAGATTCACTTAACAGCCATGTTACTAAGTTAACAACTGAAATGGTTCACTTAACCACTGTGCAAGAAAGGTCGTAAAATGGGGCAAAACTCGCTTAACAAATGTCTCATTTAGCAACCTAAATTTTGGGCTCAATTGTGGTTGTAAGTTGAGGACTACCTGTATAGAAAGACAGGAGGTTATTTTATTTATTTTTTACATTTCCTTCCCACCCATCCTGCTCAAAGAGACTCTAAGCCGTATACAATAAACTTCTTGACTTTAAGCACAATTGTTTGTTCAGCAAAGTTAACCATACTTACAATTTGGTCTCATAATCTTTCCAGGCTTTATCAAAAGGCTTTTTGAGATCCTTAAGAAAGAGAAAATTAACTTAAAATAAGTTTATGGCAGTGCTTAAAAATGCCCCCTTAAGGTACTGGTCCATGGTTATAAAATGACTTAAAAGCTTAAAGTATTTTCGCCGTGGGGAATCTTAAGAGCTCATATAACTCAAGTTTTTTTTTTTAAAGAAAAAACGGATTGATGGGAAATATAAGTCTGCAGTTACAAGTGGATGTAATCAGATGTTCCTGCAAATGTGATAACGTCCCCACTATATTGATAAGGTAAAGGTTCCCCTCACACATATGCTATTTGTTTCTGACTCTAGTGGGGGGGTGCTCATCTCCGTTTCAAAGCTGAAGAGCCAGCACTGTCCGAAGACGTCTCCATGGTCATGCGACCAGCATGACTTAATGCCAAAGGCGCATGGAACGCTGTTACCTTCCCACCAAAGCTGGTGCCTATTTTTCTACTTGCATTTCTTACATGCTTTCAAACTGCTAGGTTGGCAGAAACTGGGACAAGTCACGGGCCCTCACCCTGTTATGCAAAATTAGGGATTCGAACCGCTCAGCTGCCAACCTTTCTTATTGACAAGCTCAGCTTGTCAATCCACTGAGACACCGTGTCCCTACTATAATTGATAGATAACAACAAAAGTGCAGAAATCACCACCCATTATTAAAGCCCATATTAAATGTGTAGGCTTACTTACCCCTTTAATTCCTTTCAAATCTCCTTTCAACAGGGAGTCCAAGGTGAAGATAACATTATGGCTCAACCCTTGCAGCTAGGAAGAGAAAACAATATTATTCAGTATTTAAAAATCAGTGAACTTAAAATAAACTCCAGGCATCCACTCGACTTACAATCATCCATTTAGTGACGGTTCAAAGTTACAACAGCACTGAAAAAAGTGACTTATGACTGTTTTCCATACTTACGCCTGTTACAGTATCTCCATGGTCATGTAATCAAAATTTAGACACTTAGCAACTGACTCATATCTTTGACAGATGCAGTGTCCTGAGGTCATTTGATTATCTTTTGCAATCTTTTGACAGGCAAAGTCAGTGGGGAAGCTTCATTTAATGACCATTTTACTACATTTTAAAGACTTTACCTTACTTCACTGATATTTGTCTGTCTGTCTATCTATCTATCTATCTATCTATCTATCTATCTATCTATCTATCTATCTATCTATCTATCTATCTATCTATCATCCATCTATCTATCTATTATCTATTTATCATCTA